GAGGGGCTGCAGCGCACTCCCCTACCGGGCTGCGCGGCACGGGACCCTGTTCGGTTGCCGTGTTCTCGGCATCTTATTGTAGCTCAGCTCCTTCTGAGCAGAATTGTTCTGTTTATTATCATGATGTCAGGGGAAAAGAAATCTCTTAGATTCTGTTTAATATTTTCCCTTTTAAAAAATATGTTTTTACTGATTTCGAGAGAGGAAAGAAGCGGGAGAGAGAGATAGAAGCATCAATGATGAAAGAGAATCATCTATTGGCTGCCTCCTGCACACCCCTTACTGGGGATGAAGCCACAACGTGGGCATGTACCCTGATCAGAAATAGACTGTGACCTCCTGGTTCATAGGTTGACAACCACTGAGCCACACCGGCCACGCTAATTTTTTTTCTTTTAATTAAAACTTATCCCTGACTTTAAAGCTCTTTTTAGGAGCTGGAAGAGGGGAGGACTGACCGGATGTCTCCTTGCTTCCCCAGGGTCAACCCTGGTTGACCCTTAGAATAATTTTCCCCTGACATATCCTACGGAAGTGACTTCAGTTCATGAAAATGATAGCCTTATGTTCACTGGAACATACCATTCACTGCCTTTGCCCTTGATATTTTTATTCCCACTCACCCCCTCAAAAAAAAAAAATCAGTGGTACATCCATGGGCCCTAAAAATTTTAAATGGATACTTTTCCCACAACCGCTGACCTAAAACTCACCTAAGACCTATTGTTTGGGAATGAGTGTTAGGAACTGAGTTCTGGGCGCGTCCTTGGAGATGTTAGTTTACTTCCAGCCAAAGGGGAGCGAATGGCAGGTAGTTACCCACCCCTTCTCCCCGCCACAGCTCAGCGGGAGCCAGGCTTGTGTGGCGCTTGCCGAGCGGGGTTTCCTCCTTGACGCTGTGCCCCCAGATCTGCAGATCTACGCCGTGACCCCCATCCCCGAGAGCCAGGAGGTGCTGCAGAGAGACGGTGTCCCCGACAACATCAAAAGCTTCTACAAAGTGAACCGCATCTGGAAGTTCCGCTACGACAGGCCATTCCACAAAGGCCCCAAGGACAAGGAGAACGAGTTCAAGGTGCGCGCGGGCTCCTGGGCTCCTCGGAGAAACCTTCTCATTTCTTGCTGCTGTTGAATGCCTGGCGCTAGTTCAGGAATCTCACAAAGTGTATTCTCCTCTTGGGAATAAACTTGGTTTCAGTAAGAAAAATGAGCCATAGGCACAGAACCCTGGTTGACAGCGTCAGCTCTTACCAAAGGCAGCCGTGGTTTCATGTGGCCTGGGGTGCTGGTCCTGGCTGGAGGGGTCTGGGCTCTGAAATCTTATGTTCACGTGGACATGGGAAGGTGGGCGGGGCTGCGGAGCAGTCGGAGATTCTGTGGGTGGGCTCAGGGCTGGCTCGGCAGGTAATTAGAAGGCATCTTTGAGCAGGTCCCGTTGCTCTTGGATCTTAGCATCTTCATCTTTAAAATAGAAAGGCCCTTTCCTGCAGGAGGTTATGCAGCCGTGTGCGGCGAGCTGGTACGCGACCCCTGATAGAAGTGAATGGCAAACATGAACCACAGCTCAGTAGCCAGACAGAGGGGCAACATGGGGGTTAACCTGTCCTGTGTTCCACAGAGTCTCTGGGTGGAGAGGACGTCGCTGTTCCTGGTGCAGAGCTTGCCAGGCATCTCCCGCTGGTTCGAGGTGGACAAGCGCGAGGTGGTAAGGACCAGACTTGTTCGGGGCACTTTCTTCTCACTGCTGCTCACCCGGGACCCTGCCAGGGTGAGGCGCTCCTGCCTTTGACTGGAAGCCTTCAGAGCAGTGAGTGGGTGTGTATGAGACTGACCACTGTGACCAGGGCTCCAGGAGGCCACTCTTGTTGTCCTTGTCCAGGGAGCCAGAGGGGTCCTCAGCGGTCCCAAGGCCTCAGCACACACAGCACTGGCCCTGCAGTCAGAGGAACTGGACTCCACTCTCTAGTTACTGTAGCTGCATGGCCTTCTCGATCTGATCCCTGGGGGCCGGGCCAGGAAGGTCATCACAGTGTCTTACTCAGTCCCCAGGGCCAGGCCATGAGCTACGCACTCTTGTCCCTCCTCTCACCAGCTTGGAAAGCTTTTGCAGGAGGCCCTATGACAAGATGTTGAGGGTAGACTTGAACACGGTGTTCTGACTCCAAAGCCAGTGATAGCATCTCTTCGAGCCTCAGTCTTCTGGGCAGCGGGCGGCCCATGCGGAGGTACCTCAGTGTCAGCCGCACAGTGAGTCCACGCGGGTGGAGGCCACAGTGGCAGGATGCTGGCATAGGAGTCTCACCCAGCAACCCAGGAGGAGAGCCAGCCAGGGAGCTGTGGGTGTTGTTAGAGCCTAGCACCCAGCACCCAAGAGCTCTCGGGGTGTAAGCCATGCCCCCAGCTCCGGTCCCTAGGGTGGGACAGGGAGAGCAGTTGCTGATGGCGGCCACATCCTGTGAGACCCCGGCCTGCTGCCCCAGCTGCCCTGCAAGCCCCTGGCACCTGGGTGTCAGCCACAGCCCTGCGATCCCAGCATCCTTCTCTGCGCACGCCCCCCACCCTGCCGCCCCGTTCACATTGGGGTGCAGCCAGCCCTGTCTGCCTCCCTCCTCCAGCGATAGGAGATGGGCCGGTAGTGAGCATAGCCTTCCACCTCTTGCCCGCTCTGCTTGGTGGGTCAGCCAGAGCAGCGCCTGCCCACACTGTCCCTGAGAATGGCTCGTCCTACCTGAAGTCTCCAAGTTGACCCACACACAGTTCTTCACGTTCCGTTAAGCTGGGGAGTTAATGGCATTTCGTTCTGCAGAGCCAGAGAATGCAGGCAGCTCCCTGCAAGCCCAGAGCAGTGTGGTCTTGAAGGGTGAGGCCAAGGTCCCCAAGCGGGTGCTGACGCAGCGCACCCGGTGCTTTCCGTGGACGAGGAGAGGCTGCCCGCACAGAGCTCCGCAAGTCTCGTTGTTGTGCTTCCTTCCAAATGGCATGGGCCCAGCCCACGGAAATGCTCCCAGCCATCCACTGCCCTGATGACTCGGCGAGCCTCTTCTCCTCCCTGCCCAGAGTGCTCAGTTCTGGGCATCTCACCCATAGTACTCACCCTGAATATATCACACACGTGCACACGCACACGCATAGGCGCACATGCATGCATATAGCACACATGCACACCACATACACATGTGCACATACATGGACATGGCACCCACACGAGCACACATACGCACACACAAGTACATGCATGTGCGCCCGTGGGTGCACACACACGCTCACGTGTGTGCATGTACACCTCTGATAAAAAGGAGCATGCTTAGATGACGATGAGAAGAGCATTACTAAACACAAGCCTTCCAAGCAGCTGCCCACGGTATTGGCACAGGCAGCCTTCTATTCTCTCCAACAGAACCAATCTCTCTGGGCCGCTTTGTTCCCTGAACACAGCCCACTCCTAACACCTGTCTGTCTCCTTCCCGCCGCCTGGCAGGCCCCCACCTTGCATTCATGTTCCTGGTTTCCTGCTTTCACTCCTGCTATAGATGGTCCTCAGGACCAGGCACACGTAGTAGGCCCTCAATACATACATGCCAAGCTGAGCTGAAACCCCTCATTACCTCGCCAAAATCTAAAAGATTCTGAAAACCGAAAGGTGCTTCCAAAAGTTGGGCTCCAAAATGATAAACCTAACCTGATGGCATGTAAGCCCAGTTATGCTCTTTATCTCACTTAGTGTAAGTATCCAAACCGGGAAGAACTTTTATGCGTTTATTTGAGTCAAATTCATAACAGTTGGCGGGAAGCAAAAGCTCAATGGATTGAGGAAATGCTCCAGAGAATGCAGTTTTACCACCTACTTTATACATCAGGATAGAAGGGGAAGATGTAAGGAAGTTAACATGCTGCCTGGCCCGTGTGGCTCCGTGGTTGAGCATCGACCCATGAACCAGGAGGTCACAGTTCGATTCCCATTTGGGTCACATGCCCAGTCGGGGGCGTGTGGGAGGCAGCCAATCGATGATTCTCTCTCATCATGGATATTTCTTTCTATTTCTTCCTCCTCTTCTCTGAAGTCAATAAAAATATATTTTTTTAAAAGGAAGTTACATGAAATCCACTGGTGATAGAGAGGTGGGAGAAAGCAAAATGGGGAAACCTCCGAGCTGGGATAAAAAGTAAAGGAATAGACACACACTTCTTTTACTGAGGTGGGTGCAGGATAGTTAACAGTCAACAATTAACAATGAGGGGAATCTGTGGTTTGGGCTCTGTGGGGAGATTGTGCCCTGAGGGTTTGAAAAGGGGTTACTCAGGTATTCCAGAGGTATGTTCTCTTACCTTTGCTGCTTTTCTGGGTCTGGAGCTGAAACACAGGCCTAGATATCATCTCGAGGGAGGTGACCTTCTGTTTCTGCTGTCAGTTGCCTGGCCAGTTTGTTTAGCCATCGGTTTCCCTATACCAGTGGTCGGCAAACGGCGGCTCGCGAGCCACATGCAGCTCTTTGGCCCCTTGAGTGTGGCTCTTCCACAAAATACC